AGGGGAGGCTGGGGTTAAACGGACACTTTTGACTTTTTTTAAAATGTCAATGAGGGGTTGAAATCTTGATAAAATTTAATAATTTTTTTCTCAATACGAAGAACAACTCTGTCCCTTTGCGACGAGCCTAAACTGAGCTCAATTGATAAATTGGGTTCTGAGTTATGAATAATTAAAAAGAAGTCTAAAGTGTCCATTTTACCCCACCCTCCCCTAATAGAGAACACCTGGAGGTGATTGAAGGTTCTATGAGAGAATGTGATGTTCAATTTTCCCAGTAACCGAAGAACAGAACAAATCTCGAGACAACGAGGAGAAAACAAAAGCAAGAATTCCGGCAAAAACCCACGGAATTTTCAATGCCCACCCGGGGGGCCCGTCGAACCGTGACGTTCTTTGGAGAAGCGTGTCCGTGACGTCACTCATTTGATGACGTGTGGTCAACCGCGGTCAATGCACCAAGAGAAGTCCACAAGGCGTGTTTCTCCTCTTTGCACGCCGCGCAAGTTGCACGATCCTCTCTTTTCCGACTACTCACGTCTCATGCATCTCCCTGGGTACATCTCGCGAGCCACAATGGGGTCGAATACTAAATAATTGTGGAAACCAGCTTCATCTCGGCGTTTTCAACCGAAATAAATTCCCCAAAACTCCGCAACTCAGCAAATTCCAGTTTTTCTTTTTCTCAGTCACCACCAAAGCCTCAATTATCTCGATAACTATTGGCCCTACAATAAAATTCCTGTAAACCTTTTTTGTTGGGAATTCGTTTCTCCACAAAAAATGTCTTGTCACATTGTCTCATAAATCCACCGACAATTTTACGAGTTTTCAACATTTTACCCGGAAATTGGTGAATTTTAACTCTTAATTCAGATAATTCTCCATTAATATGTCTCATCCGACCCCATGAGTGCACCTCGTGGCATCTATAATCGTCCACTCTCAGCACCACCGCTCGCAAGTCTCAGAAAATCCGTTGTAAACTCCCGCCTCGGAAGTCTGGGTAACCGGCACGGGTTTCTATTCTAAGCCATCGCCAACGTTAAATTGTACTAACCTAGGAATAAAGATCACAGGGCACGAGACCATCTACACCATCGAGCGACGATGAGTAAAAATGTGTGAAAAAATCCCATGCATCATCCGCCTTAAAATTGAAAAAAATAAAAATAAAAACGAGTGAAATTGCCGTAGGCGAAGGCAATTCTCTCTGTGTCGTGGGTGTTGGGGGATCAGTGGTGAGCGTTGGAAGCCATCAGACAAGTGGAAACGACCACTATGTAGCCAGACGGGGCCTATTCACGACTAAATGCGGGGGGGAAGGGGAAAAAAAATTGGTGAAGAATTGTGAATGCATGCGATTTGCACTGGGGCGAGTCGATGGACTCGAGCCCAGGCAACTCGATCGTCCCTTACGTAACGGTCCCGAGGAGTTCTCATCCAGAATACACTCGGCGCGAGTTGTTGGTTTTATGCGGTGGGAGAAAAAATTTCCTCTCCCAAAAAATCATATGCTCCACGTGAGAATATTTGATGGAGTTGAACGGATTTACTTGAGGGAGATTCACCAACTTGACGGAAGGAAATTTAATATCAGAAATATCCCTAGGAGAATTCCAACTGTTGGCAGGAACTCGATAGATCTGTACTACAGAAAGAATATAAATATTGTCTCCTCGAAATTATTTAGTTTTACCAATAACACAGTTATCGGAAGGAAAATTATAGTTTCACTTGAACACATAATTTTTTTAGAAATCATCTCAGAACCTGGGGGTAGCCAATTTTTTTCACAGCTAAGTGAGATCTGCATAAATAAGCCTCATGGAAGTTCATCTACGCCCCATGGAGCCCCAGAGATTCCCAAAAAACCGAAAATTCAAAATTGAAGTCAATTCATTTTGTTTCACCATTTTGCCACTAAGTTTTTGCTGAATATCTCCAAATTCAAGAGAGATGGAAGAATTTTTGTAGAACCTTTTTTCTAGCTCTTCCTCTGCTACCCAAAAAATATTCTCACAAAAATTTCGACCTCTCCCTTCAGGCCCGAGATAATCTCCAAAAACTGATTGTCTCCGAGTCATTAATGTCCATTTCGCAGCAATTTTCTAAAATACCTTCGAACCTACAGGAGATACCGCAATTTTCACCGAGACCTTTTTTGTAGCTCACAAAATCCTCCACAAAAACTTCTCTTCAAAATTTTCCCTATCTCCCACAGATCCCGAGTTATCATAAAAAATCCTCCAGTTCTTCTTCAATAAATTCTTCAAAACCTCGAAAATCGAAATTCCATCAAAACTAGCGACACCTTTCCTCCCTCCCCTTCACCATACACCGCCCCTTCTCCCGCCCCCACATCGAAAAACTCCCACTAAAAATCAGCACACTCCTCGCGACCCACCACCAACATCACCAACAGCCGTATCAGCCCAACCGATCCCTTGGAAAAGCTGTATAGCTGGATAAGCGCAGTCTCTTGGAGTTGAGAGGCGCGGACGGGCGGTCAGAGACCCCGCAGGGCCGTCGCAAACAGTACAGCATTACCCACTCGGCTTAAGAGCACTATCTTAACGTGGAGCCAACAATGCTCAATAATCCCCTCCCCCCTTCCTCCCCCCAGAGCCTTTCTTCATGCTGAACCTGCCTAGAGTCTACTTTCTTCCCCAGAACGGAACAGAAAGGAAGAAGGCAGAAACAACACCTAGAGAAATGCGGAATTTCAATCGAATAAAACGGTTTATTAGGAATTATTCCAGTTGTTTCAACGTTTTTTTCTGTGGGAATTAATAAACTTGTGGCTTTCTTTTGATAATGTTTTGATTTTATAGAATGGATAATTCATTCCAGGTATTTATTATAAATTTTATTGAAAGATATTCTTAATGATTAGCCGATCACCTTGATTCCAACTATTTAAGCGCCGGGCTTGTCAGAACTGTCAAAAGTATGTGGAAAAAGTGAAAACTGCGAAACCGTTTTTTTTGGCCCCAGCCAAAGGGTCAGATTTTCGGGTTTTCCGGGGCAAGTGGATTTTCGCCAAAATCGAATTTTTTAGCCGGGTGAACGTTGATTCCAACTATTTAAGCGCCGGGCTAGTCAGAACTGTCAAAACTATGCGGAAAAAGTGAAAACTGAAAAACCGTGTTTTTTGGTCCCAGCCAAAGGGTCAGATTTTCGGGTTTTCCGGAGCAAGTGGATTTTCGCCAAAATCGAATTTTTTAGCCGGGTGAACGTTGATTCCAACTATTTAAGCGACGGGCTAGTCAGAACTGTTAAAAGTATGTGGAAAAAGTGAAAATTGAGAAACCGTTTTTTTTGGCCCCAGCGAAAGGGTCAGATTTTCGGGTTTTCCGGAGCAAGTGGATTTTCGCCAAAATCGAATTTTTTAGCCGGGTGAACGTTGATTCCAACTATTTAAGCGACGGGCTAGTCAGAACTGTTAAAAGTATGTGGAAAAAGTGAAAATTGAGAAACCGTTTTTTTTGGCCCCAGCGAAAGGGTCAGATTTTCGGGTTTTCCGGAGCAAGTGGATTTTCGCCAAAATCGAATTTTTTAGCCGGGTGAACGTTGATTCCAACTATTTAAGCGACGGGCTATTCAGAACTCTCAAAAGTATGTGGAAAAAGTGAAAACTGAAAAAAAAAATTTCTACCGGGGGCCAAAGTGTCAAATTTTGGATTTTTCTCAGGGAAAAGTCGACTTTCGCCAAAATCGTTTTTCCTACGTTATTGATCTATCGATAACGTCGAAAATTCACAAGAATTACCGATGCCCCATTCAACTGCGTGTATAAGTAGCAACTTCAAAAATTATTCCCATTATTATTGTTTAAGTAGGGGTCTTGACAATTTGCACACCTCTTTCAAATGGATCGAATAATCTGTTCAGCAATTTTCATTGAATTCTCTGCTTTTTTCCCAGCTATGAACCCCGCCATATTACCCTCAAGAGATATTCTTACTGATTTAAAAAAACTATTTCACCTGAATAAAAATGCAAATAAAAATCAAGTTCAAGTTTGAACAAAATTGTTAATTTGTTTATTCAATTAAAATGAGTTATCTCTCTGTGTGAGATGTATTGGTCTCTTCACTCTCCCCCCGAAAAATAATAGAATCAGATGTTCACACGTGGAGTAGCGATAAGAGTTAATAAACTTTCATTCCGGAAAAACTATTAGCTGAGGGGAATAACCCCCTGTGTGAGTTCTAATGGTAAATTTGGATTAATTATGCAGACAATTAAGTGCACAAGGAGGTATGAGCGTGAGATATAGTTAGATTAACACAGAGGAGTGCAGAGCACAACTGATGTGCTGGGTTTACTCTGTAATTTCTCTTTCTGCTATCTCGTGTGCAGACAGTAGTTGCTGTGTAAGTTGGCTATTTCCTCGATTGAATTGTTTTTCGCTGATTTAATTGTGAGGTGGTTAGACGGGTCACGGATACACTCTTGGTTTTTGCTGATGGCTTGAGGTGTTGGAGAACTTTTACTCTCGACTCGGGTGACGAATGGGGTTTTTGGTCTCAAAATCCCGAAGGTTCAATAGTATTTACGTTATTTGATTTATCACAAAAATTTCAACTACATAAAATTCTGGGGCTCATAAAATTAATCATCATCCGTGTATATTAGAAAAATCCAAATCGACTTCTAATGATGAAAATTTCGTACTCATAATTAAGATTCCAAAATGAAAGTCGCGAGGGTCGAAATAAGGGTTGTGAAGGTCAAAATAAGGGTCACAAGGTTTTAAATAAGGATCATTTGGGGGTTGGCGAGCGGAACCATTTCTCCAATAGAAATGACAATTACCCCTTCACTCCTCAATTTTAAACTTAAAAAGTGGACAATAACAATTGCATGAATCTGCCAAATGGTGCGAAAAATACTGCTCAAAATTGCTTTGATGTTATCAATTCATCAATTATTATTTTAAAAAATATATTAATAATTTAAGTGAGTCCTATGGCTAGGTGCCATTGATACGTCACCCCATTCATTAAAATATTCGTTGATTGTCTCGTTGGCAATCATCTGGCGATGAGTCTCTTCGCGGCATGTCCCAAAAACATCACCACTACAATGGTCTCAAAATTCCAGAAAGTCCACGCCATCAATAATTCAATACTCAATTCTCATTCTCAAACCTCAGGAGCTTTTACATAATTCGATATCCCACTAAAAACTTCAACTTCATAAGATTCCGGTCCTCAGAAATTTAATCATCATCCTCGAGAAAAATGACAATTGCCCCTTCACTCGACAATTGCATAACCGATCCGTAACAATGTCATCAATCAATCAACCAATTGCCCCTCAAAATTTACCAACAGTATCAGCGAGTCCCGCGGACACACAAAAACACAAAACAATATCAATCACTCACCACTCGGGCAGCTTCACTCGTCCCTCCGCCAGGCCCCCCTTCCCCCACAGTCACCAGAGACAATCGGCTCCCCAAAAACAACAAACAATCACATCCAATCACATCAACTCACAACACTCACCGGCAACTCAACTAACCAAAAAGTTGAACCAACACAACTGAACAGTCACGTACTCCCGCTAGTCGAGAATGTCAGGTTGGCCCGCGTCGCACCCGAGCAAAGAGAAAAAACAAAACAAAAGCCCCGTAATTTGTTGATGCGGGCACGTGTTGTCGGCACTCTGTGGCTCTCCGGGCCACGCGTATCGTTTGCGAGTGAACGCGCGTCTGACTGAAAGCCCTGCGAGCCTGTCGGATACCACCGACAACACCCGAAGTCTGCTCCTGATTCGCTCGTGCCTCTGCCCTCTCCTCTCCGCCCTCTTTGTCGCGCCAGCCGCGAAATCGATTCGATTTTTTGTTTACGACACATCTGCCTCCCTCTAATCTACTCTCTAAGCGGGTCTGGTGCACCATGGGGGCAAAATGGACCAGCAAATCCGGAGAAATGATTTATTTGAATTGAATAAATTGTATTTGGATGAAATAAATGTTTTTTTTTCTTCATTTTTTAAAATGAAACTTTATTTCTGTTCATGAGACATCCGCCTTTTTCTAATGATCTCTGAGGGATCGTTGAGCAGTCGTTTTCGGGGCAAAATGGGCCACTAAATCCAGGAAAATAATTTATTTAATGTAAATAAATTTCATTTGAATGAAATAAATGAATTTATTTATTTTGAATAGTAAAACTTTAATTTATAATTTTGTGTGGAGGGATTTGTCCAAGTTTTTGAGAAAGGGCGAGGATAGGGAGGGGGGAGGGGAGAGAGGCAAGGGGTGGATCGGTGAGGAAAAAGAAGAGACCAATTTTTTAATTTAATATTTTTTTTTATGTTGAAACGAATTTAATTGTTTCGTGGAGGATGCGAAGGATTGATGAAGGAAAGTTTTATTACTCGATCGCAAGCGATCTAGAGAGTGCACTTGAGTGATGAGTGCTCGAGGGAATTCTGGAGAGACGAATGATGAATAATGTTTGCGTTTTGGGGATCGATCCTATCGCAGGATTTTTATTGTCGGTTTTATCTGCGGGTTGTTTGTTTTATTTGATTGCGGTCGGTGGAGTTTATGAGGGAAAGTTGGGTTATTAATTGGGATAATTGGTTCGGAGGAGCTAATTGTTTTTAATTGGCGGTCACATAAAAATTCTATATTCACCTCATCAATAATCCGATACGCAATCATTTTCAAAGCCCAACAGTATTCCCATAATTCGATTCCGACGATCATAAAATTAATCATTAGCTTCAATAAAAATGACAATTACCCCTTTACTCCTCAATTTTTAATTTAAAAATACTGCACAAAATTGGTTTGGCGTTATCAATTAATTAATTGTTATTAATCATTTTAGTGAGTCTATGGCTAGGTGCCATTGATACGTCATCCCCATTCATTAAAGTATTCGTTGATTGCCAGGGATTGCGGTGGCAATTATCTGGCGATGAGTCTCTTCTCCACATTATTCGAGACATTCAGAACATCAGAATCACCCTGAAAATCTTCCGAGACATTTCCCAAAAAAATCAGCACTAAAATGATCTCAAAATTCCAGAAGTTCACATAAAAATTCTGTATTTACCCCATCCATAATCCAATATTCAATCATTCTCAAAGCCCAACAGTATTTGCATAATTCGATTTATCACTAAGAATTTCAACTTTTGAGATTCCGGTCATTTCGATAGGAGTCGCCGCAATTGCGAATCGAGTAGATGTCATGATTCTCGATTTTGTTTTTTTTGGGGGGGCGGGGGGGTTGCATTTTCTCCGGGTGTTTTCGTTTTTCAGAGGCCAGTCTCACGGCGCATAGTCACTTACACTAGGTACATACATGTTTATGTACGGGCTTATGTACGGCGTCGGCTCTCTCAGCGAGTAACTGAAGTAAAGCCAGGTTGGTGCCCCCGCAAGGGTGAACGAACGGCTGCGGAACAGGCAAAAGAGAGCCCGCCGATCTTGCGCGCGCCCGCGCACAAACACCTTCCTGACGCTTGTCCTTTAACATGGACCTCTGGTTTTGACCTCCTCATGGGGAAATCGGATCGGGAAATCTCCAGGGAAATGGACAATTTTCAGACAATAGTAGATTAATTAATGAATCGATAACATCAACCCCATTTTGAGGGGTATTTTTTCACACCAATTTGCAGACTTGTGCGTTTGTCATTTTTATTAAAAGATAATGATTAATTTTATGAGGGCCGGAATCTTAGAAAGTTGAAATTTTTGGTGATCAATCGAATTATGTAAATAATGTTGAGCTTTGAGAATGATTGAGTATTGGATTATTGATGAGATAAATATAGAATTTTGAGATTATTTTAGTACTGATGTTTTTAATGTCCTCAATGTCTCGAATAATATTGCCAACGAGGCAATCAACGAATATTTTAATGAATGATGATTAATATATTTTTTAAAATAACAGATAATTAATTAATAACATCGAAGCAATTTTCATTTCCCACGTTTTTAATTTAAAAAATGCGGAATAAAAAGGCGAAAATCCGCCCAAAAACTCTACTCGACTCGTAATTAAGACGACCCTCGTCGAAATGACAGCGAAAAGATTAAAACACGATAAGACGAGAGTTACAGATGGAATTGGGATCTCTCACGATGCTGTGTTTCTATATAATGCAGCCCGGTGTTATTTCCCAGAGATAAAATCGTGCGATCACGATCGGAGGGATCTTAATCGTGGCGAAAGCATCGACCCCAAGTGCAACTCGTGCCACAAGGTGAATCACTTCACGGTCCAGTATCATCCAAGTCTCGATTTTTTCCTGCTCAGCGGATTTACAACTTCGTAACGCTATTCATCATTTAATTATCGAAGTGGTGAGGAATGTTTGTATGGGTAATCCGTGATCTCGGGGATGTGCTGACACTGCAAAGAGCAGTATCACTATTTTCACTAAGAAATGGCAACTCAAAGTTCTTGGAAAATTAAAAATAACGACGTGGAGGATTTTTTAATGGAATTATCTCGTCAATGAATTCGCTTCCACTATTTTTCCTTCAAGTGGCTAAATAAAGAAGCGGAAAGAATGGCTGAATATCACTCAGGGCCTGCGATAACGGATAATTAATTTATCAACTGTGCAATTATATGAGAGAAATGTCATTAGACCTTTTTTCTAGCTGACAAATTCCCCACAAAAACTGTCCTCTGACATTTTCCCCTGAAACAAGACGTGAGGGGGATCATTATCCCCTCCAGTAACATCAACTCCTCCAGTTAATTCTTAAATTATCTCGTTCATTAATACTAAACAGAGAAAACAACTCGTCCCCATCTTTACGAAAGCATAAATGATCGATTTATTTACATTATCTCCAGATAATAATTTAGGAACGAACTTAATGGACCAAATGATTTATTTACATGATGCCAGGTCCTCCTTAAGAGTAGCGAGGCCCCTGGGTGACCATTCTGATGGACACGGGGTCGGTAACAGCGTCAGTGGGGCTGGACCTCTGCTGCTGGTGCGAGTAGCTCACCTCCATGTCGATTTCGTCGAACTCCTCCTCCTCGTCCTCATGAGTGTCAGACTCCTCTTCCTCCTCTCCCTCTCCCTCCTCCTCTTCTTCCTCTTCCTCCTCTTCTTCTGATCCTCTGAACTAATTGCAAACAGATCAATTCATTCAATTAATCAATTTGAAACATCATTCATTGATTTCTCTTTTGAAGAATCAATCTGTCAGTTTTTAAAAATCATTTCCCCTTGAAAAATCGATTTTTCAAGTTTTTTATTTAAAAAATAAATTGAAAAATTGTTCTTTGTTCTTGAAAAGCAGTTTATAGATTTAGAAGTTCATTAATTGATATTTTCTATTTAAATAATCAAGTTTAAACTTTTTTTTCTCCAGAAAAATAATTTTTCCAAATTTTTTCTTCGAAATTTTTCTGTTTTACAATCCAATCTTTCAATTTTTCTCTTCATTTTATTTATTTTGAAATGAAATAGAGGTTATCTTACATCACTAGCTGATTTTCCAATGGGTATTTGATCGCTGCCAGCAGCTCTAGTCCTATCTTTCTGTAAACGAATAAATTAATCAGTAACTGATGATTTCTGAATAAAAAAAATGTTGGAGGGTTTAATAACAATTACCCAAGTTTGATGCAGAGTCTCTAGCTTGTCAACTTCCTCCTCATCGTCGCAGGGTTTGTCTGCATTGAACCAGAGGGGATCAGTGGACCTGGGCTGTAGATTAGGCCAGAGTGGCATGAACGACATTTTATGAATAATTAAAACTGTTGACTAAATAATTTCGTTTGATTTCCTACGCGAAACGATTGGCATCGACGTAAACAGAAATGGCGATCTGACACGAGTCGAAAAAAGGCATTACTTCCGCCATCTTCAAATAATTTGAAAAACTAATTTCGCGATAAACGAGTTAAATAAAACAGTTTTGATTTTTCGTAATTATCTCAATAATGAGTTGATTTAGAGAAAATTTTCATGATAACTTTTTTGTTGGGAATATAATTCCAAGACATACCTTCAGTCGATAAAAAATCCTTCACCCATCCCCCGGCGCCCTCTCCCGTCAAAACCCCACCCCTTCACCCTCGCCGCCCGCAAAAAAAACAGTCTCTGATTTTTAGCTGCACTGGCTACCGCGTACGATGTTCCCGTCCAAGTTCGTGAGTAGAAAGTCTCCGTCAGTCTTTTAGTTGGTTCCCAGCACCCACAATCGCCTCTGTTAAACCCCATAATCCCGCGAGTGCAAATTCATAAATAATTAAAAGCCCAAACCGGATTATCACCGCTTCCCGAACAAGTGACACAACCTGACCTGTCGAAAGGAGTGATCACGGTGAGCAATAAAAACTCGTGAATATATTTATCCCACCGAAATGATTATCATCATTGACCTTTCGCATGTCACCGATACACCTCAAGGCCGTTATCTCATCGTCGAAACGTTATTTCGTCACGAGGTTATGAAAATCGGGCGAAAATGTTGGCCAGATGTCTTATCGATAGCAATAACTTGGCAATAAAAAAGGCCAAACGTCGGGGGTCCTCCCCACCTGGTGCTCATCTCACTCGGCAGTGTTTTTTCACTTTAAATTGTCCATTTTTCCAGGGTAAAATGCATCCTTGAACTCGCCACTGGTCTCGACCCCATGCAAAACTCTAATTGACAGTGATTCGTGGCTATTGATCCAATTGATTCCAATAAAGTTTTTCCGTGATTAGCGCGAGGTAAAAGTTCCAACAGTCAATTCCCCCTTCAATTTCTCGATTAATTGTTGAGATGCTCTTTATCCGGAGGAAATAGACGAGTTCGTTCACTCATTTCAGGTACATTTTCTATGGAATTTTAGAATTACTTTTTCCTCTTCCGTTTCCAATTTGCGGTAACTCGGAATTGGTTCAGTGAATTTCTATGATTTAAATTTCATTTTGAAGATTTTTTTTTCTTCTTTGAAATGCGCGCCAAGCCGTCGAGATCGCGGCATTAACTCCGGAGATATTTGAAATTGAAAAAAGTGGGGATTTCGCGAATTTTGATGAGAACCTGGGCTCTCACTTTCTACCTTAAAGTGAGTGCTGATTTATCGAAATCGCATCGTTTGGTCGCGAGATATGAAGAGTTGAAGAAGAAAATTAGTTTTGCGATTTTTTAGGAAATGGTGCTGCATGCTCCATTTTTGATCGGCGATAAATCGAGATCGGCAGAGGCGATTTCGACAATTTTTTTTTTCATTTTTAAGGTCTTTGATTGCTTTTGAAATGAGCGCTCGCGGAGTTGGATCAGATCGTTCAGAGGGAAGATATTGAAGTTTGAAGGGAGTGCCTTTGACTCCACCTCCTCGTATTTCAGAGTTATGTCCGGAATTTCAATAAGAAATTCCAGGGGATTATTCCAGGGGTCTCGGATCACTACTACTGTACGGATGACTGAAATGGCGCATAATACAGTGAATGGCACGTGTCTGACGCAACACAAGGTTGCCCCAGTGACAGGAGAAATTATGAATTTCAAATTATCGCTTTATTTTTTATCTTTCAAAGGTAAAATCCAAAAGTTCTGAGCGATATTTCAAAGTTGATTTCGTGCGGTCGCATATCCTGTAAAAACATGAACTGATAAGACGCCTTTTTCTGCTGTTTATGCACTACAATGTTTGGATTGGATCATTTTACACGAATGATAATGCGAGGAAATTAAAATTCTGATGAACTAACGTCTGCTATCGCTTGATGTTTTCAGTTTATTTCCTTCTGAAAAATGACACGAGTTGCGATTTTTTTTTCATTTCTTTCGTGAATTTCGAATTATAATGAATATTCATGTTTCAGAAGAGTTTCTAAATATGAAATATTGAATTATATGTGACAATTTTGTAATTATATTTGAAATAATTTTTGTTTTCCATTCATCAAATATTGCGAATAAAATTGTATTTTGATAATTGAATTGAAAAAAATACTATTTACGTCGTTTTATTCCTGCGAAATAATTTTTTCTAGTTCATTCCAATTCTATAAACGGATTAAAAATATGCAATCGTTTTTTCATTCAATTTTAATGAAATAATCTGGATTTCTGGATTTTAATGAATAAATAGGGAGAAATGCCTTCAGGAATGATAGAGGTGTGATTACTGTTTAGTTTGGAGTTACAATGATTGATTACCTCTGGACAGTGCAAACAAAGTCGGTTTATCGATTTTATATCGATCCTGATACCAGTTATTCGATACTGTGAACTGAGTAGAGGCTTCCGGAGTGAGGAAATTGTTTTTTCAATTTGAGAATTTTGTCTTATCTGGAATTTATCGTGAAGAGAGATTGATGGTTCCTTCGGAATTGTATCGGTAATCAGTGATGATTTGGCGCGATTATCTTCTTCCAAATCCATTCATTAACGAGATAATTTAAGAATTAACAAAAGAAGTTGATGTTACTGGAGTGGATAATGATCTCTCACGTCTTGTTGATTGTTTCATTATCTCGATGACGAGTAGTTTTAGGTGAAAATGCCAGAAGACAGTTTTTGTGGGGAATTTTGTCAGCTAGAAAAAAGGTCCAATGACATTTCTCTTTAAACCCACTCATTACCGCGATAATTACACAGTTGTTAAATCCGTCAGACGTGACTTATCGAATTCAGTTGTTGGCAATGAAACTCCATGCGACTGAATGAATTATCCGATACCTGAACTGTCTACGTTATCGTAGACCATGAGTGATAATCAACCATTCTTTCCGCTTATTTATTTTCGCCGCTTGGGGGAAAAAATAACAGAGAATTCTGGTATTCTATTCAAATCACTCAATTTTTTTTCTATTCTCTTCGACTCGTTTCTCCGCGTGATTGGAACTCATTGAGAGAATTGAGTCATCTGTAGCCTTTCTAATTCTTTCCCAGTGATTCAGGGACAAAAAAATATCAATCAAGATTCGATAGTAAAAAGTCTTTCAGGATATGGACTCTGGGAAATTGATTTAGTACTGTTACTCGAGGCAAGACATTCCCTCGAACTAAATTGCCAACATATCAGGGGCACTGACTTTCACGTTACGTGGCCGGCCCTGTCTTTCATCATTTTTATCGTACTCACGCGATTTAATATTGAAAAATTGAACAATAAAACTCAGCGACAATCACCAACAAATTTTCTCATTTGTAATTAGCAAATTTTTCAATTTAATTGAGTGAAAAAAATTGCGCATCAATCCGTTAACGCCGTGGCTACTGCCGTATTCTTTATCGCCGTTGTTTTGAGTGACACGCTGCGTGTGGCATCGCGAATAGCCACGGCGTATGAAAACATTGAAATTTAGAGTCAAGTGGATATGAAAATCGAAAAATACGAGGTACGAAACACCTTCCTGATATTTCTGGAATACAATTCTTCTACGGGAGCTCAAATTTGAATTTTCCACATCAATTTTACTAGACTGACCGCAAATAAAAGATGAAATAATAGTTTTTTACATTTTATGTGAATGTTTACTCAACAATATTCATATTTGTCTAATGGGGTCCGAGCGCAGGAGTGGGTACCAAAATATAGTCAGACATGATGTGAGTGAAAATCCATCTCTCGGAATGAAATAATTGGCATGAGTCCGTTATAATGAATGCTATATGGATAACGAACTGCTGGAGGTGGGATTTATAAAAATCGAGGTAGAGGATAGATTCATTTGCGTTGAAGTAATCAGAGAGCTTTGGAAACAATATCTCGGGTTCTAGGAAATAATATTTCACTGCTTTGGATTGAATTTCTCGAGTTGTCTCTACTATCACAATTTTTTAAATTAAAAAAGGTGGGACATCTGATTGAACATAGCATAATAAAAATCTTGAGGACATTTTTATTATAATTTTCTAGATGGCTGAGCACATCCACCACATGATGAACTCCTCGGGTGGTCATGAGGGGCATCACACAGCGGATCACGCCAGTGAGAACCACCACATGGACAGGGGCGCAATGGCGCACGGTACGATGGACCACAATGCGATGGGACACGGGGGGATGGACCATGCATCCATGGGCCACTCGGTTGAAGCGACTGCTTCTGCTTGCAGTGGGAGCGGACATGGGTTGCATGGCATGATGTCGGTGAGTGTTGGCCTGAACTTATTAGTGAAGTAGGAGAACTAAAAAATTTGTAATGTTTCTTAAAAATACTGCACCTTTAAAATGTTCCCAAAATTCCAAAAGTTCATGTCAAAATTCTATATTCACCTCATCGATAATCCAATATTCAATCATTCTCAGCGGTCAACAATATTTACATAATTCGATTTATCGTTAAAAATTTAAACTTTGAGGAGATTCCGGGTCTCATAAAATTGATCATTAACTTCAATGAAAACGACAATTATTAAAATCGTCTATTTAATGTCCTCCCCAATTAATTCCTCAATGAAATCTCCACAGATGGCTTTCCACGGTGGCTACTGTGAGACAGTCCTCTTCGACATGTGGAAAATCTCCTCGATAGGTGGACTCATCGGCTCGATGATCGGAATTATAATCATGGCGGCTTTATACGAAGGGCTCAAATACTACCGTGAGTACCTCTTCTGGAAGACGTACAACGCCCTCCAGTACAGGAGTGTCTCAATGCCAGCTGAGAAGAACGTCGTGGCTGAGGATAATCGCGTCGTCCAGTAAGTCTCACCATCATCCCATCACGAAAATCATTTTCACAGTTTTATCAAATTTGCAGATAATTGAATTGTACAATTTTTTTCGTCGAAATGTTAATTTTTCGCAAATCAACTGCGGTTTTTTCGAGTTGGCGTGGGTCTACGAGAAAATCCCCTAAAACATTTTTTGTAGGAAATTAAATTCTCCACAAAAAATGTCTTACAACATTTTCATGTAGAACCCCTCGTTATCGAGTTAATCATACATTTGGAATAGATTTTTTGTTGGACTTGACATAACTTAATTCAATTAATTTTTGTTTGCAATTTTTAATTCCTTGTGGTACGATCCTTCAGAATATCTCTCGATAACTCATCTGAATTATTCAGTTGTTGCACGTGATAGCGTAGTGAGTGCTGACTCATTATTATCATAATTTCTTTACTTATCTCACGCCCATACAAACACGAATGGGCAATTTTCAACAGAATGAACACTCATAAACATGTTTTTAATTTTTATCATATTTGATTTCCCATTCTAGCATGGTCGGCGAAGTTATCCATAAACAACCGTGAGTGAATTACAAAACATCTGTAGAGAATGTTATGTACCCCAGCAGGATCTCCTGCCTTCTGTCCTCTCTATAATCTCCAGTTTCATGAAGAAATATCAAGTGTCCACTCCACAAAAAAAATTATCTCATCTCGAAAAGTTTTCCTCACTGATTGGAAATAAAGTTTCAGATTTGCCTCTTCGCTTTTTCCTTTCGAGATTATGATTTCCCTCTCGTAGAAATTGTAATCACGTTTTTGTCGGGTTTCCAATCAGGGAGACAATTCAATGGGATTGGGAAAATTTTGCCTGTGGGAGAGGACTCTTAATTTCTTATTGAGCCTGTTTTCCTTGCATCTTACTCAGAATTGCATGCATTCTGATTAAAACCCTGTGGACACCTATATTCAAGTTTTTGTAATGATGAAGTTATACAGAAAAATATCAGAGAAAATTGAAATGTAAAATTAACAGAATGACTTTTCCAAATGAAATAAAAACGATCGTTCATTATTTCATAGTTATCTCGTTAATGACTAGTTTTAGTAAAAAATGTAGTGAGACATTTTTTGCGGAGAATTAAATTTCATAACATTGAAAAAACTTCACTCATTGCATTGACTTTCAATACAGAAGGAATTCTAAAAAAATTCACAAGAATTAAACTGACGAGTCGTAAAAATTTTGTGTTGCAGACCTACGATGATCTCGCAGATGCATTTCTTCCAAACATTTCTACATATCGTACAAATAGTTCTGTCGTACTTCCTCATGCTGATCTTCATGACGTACAACACGTGGCTCTGCTCAGCAGTGGTTCTGGGTGCAGCCATTGGCTATTTCCTCTTTGGCTGGAAGAAATCAGTGATTGTGGACGTGACAGAGCACTGTCATTAATTAAGTCTCGGTGATACCATCGCACACAACTCATTAGGCTCATTTAAATGTCCTGGATGTCTCAAATAATACGAAGAAAAGACTCATCTCCAGTTGATTGCCCACGAGGCAATAAACGAATATTTTAATGAATGAGGATGACGTCTCAGTGGCACCTGGCCCATGGGACTCACCAAAATTATTAATATATTTTTTTAAATAATAATTAATCAATTGATACCATCAAACCAATATTAAGCAGTATTTTTACACATCAATTAGCAGACTCATGCAATTGTTATTTTCCACTTTTTAAGTTTAAAATTGAGGAGTGAAGGGGTAATTGTCATTTTTATTGGAGCTAATGATTAATTTTATGAGGGCCGGAATCTTATAAAGTTGAAATTTTTAGTGATAAAACGAATTATGTAAATACTGTTGAGCTTTGAGAATGATTGAATATTGCATTATTGATGAGGTGAATATAGAATTTTTATATGAACTTCTGGAATTTTGAGGTCATTTTAGGGGTGATGTTTTTGGGAAATGTCTCGCAATCTGAGAGAGGTGGAGAAATTTTTGTGGATCCCTTGAAATTTATTACAAAAAATGTCTGCACACAAGTGTTTACTCACTACTATGAGTTGGAAAAGTTGTGGGATATTGGAGTGAGATTTCTCATGCTTGGAAGATCAATTATATTGCTAGCTCGCGACTTTTAAAACTCACAGTAGTTTCCCTTTAATTGATGACATCACAGCAATTTTGATCAGTATTTTACATACCAATTTTCCACTTTTCAAGTTTAAAATTGAGGAGTGAAGGGTAATTGTCATTTTTGTGGCAAGTTTCGAGGGCCACGAGAAAGGTTTCTTGACGTTTTTCTCCGGAGTCGATAGTTTGAGAGAGGCTTGCGAATAAATTCATCTCTGAAGTGATGGAGCAGTTGATTCTTCTGCTCAAATCACTTCAGAGATGATTAAAAACCCAGTTTTCGTTTGATTAAGTTATTTCCACGTTCGATTAGTCCTACAAACCTTTGGTTAAGCTTGTAAATTCGTTAGTTATAATTAGAGTAACTTAGTGTCTAGTGTAGATACGAGACAATACATTATTTCGTTTTTCAAAGAAGCAGATTGTTCACTTTATTCCTCACATTCCCTTCTTTTTATCATATAAAATTTATTCAAGGCGCAGGTAATTAGTGTAGCCATTAGGTGTTGTTGACATTTGCGTAAAAAATTGGTTTGGAGATTGATAAAAATATGGTTGGTCTGACCGTTGATGGAGTCATAAAGAAATCACGACTGGCTCAGAATGGCTTCCTTCAGTTGTCAATAGCTCGGGATTGGTAGAGTGAAATTTGAAAAATGCATCATTCGTTCAAGAGACATCGAAGATTTAGTGGAGCCATTTTTTCTCACCCTCTCTTAATTGCTCAATCCGAAAATATCTTTCCTGATAAATTTTGCATAATTATCGATTTAATGATTATGAACTATTACTGCATGATTAACGCTTGCGTAATCAATCCTCCAGATAACTCAATCACTTGTGATAGGGTCTCTCACTCGTCATTATCATACGACTAATTAAAGTGTAATTAACTTTCTTACACATATCTGCAAATTTATGAATAATTTAATCGTTAAAAAATTATAATTTACATCAATCATTCAATTATAAAATTTAATTTCACAAGCACTAGTTGAGATAATTTTTAGTTCCTGAATTGTACAATTTTTTCGTTGACTTTCGTAATTTTTTCATCGAAATGTTAATTTTTTGTAAATCAATTGCGATTTATTCGAGTTCATTAGCTACTATAAGGCAGATACAAATGATTAAGCTAAATACACGTGGATTTTAACTGCGTTCCAACTATTAATTAAAACATTATCACATGACAATGGTTCATTAGTTATTTTATTATTTATTAATACTAATACTGGGATTATTCAACGCATATCAACAAGCGCACCACAAGCTGATTAAATTCTCCCATTGAGAGACATTTTCAATGATTTTTAATGATGATGATTAGTTCGCCAGTTGAATTCAACCTTTCCTCAATTTTTTTCACTTCATCATCTTTTTTTTCTTAATTAATGCTTCAAAATTTGTTCAACTCAAATTAATGAACTTTATGTGAATGAGAAATAATGTACACAAATTCGAGATCAGGCATTCAAGTGTCTTATTGTTCAATTATTTGTTTGTAATTATGTACAATTCGTTGAGTAATACGATTATTGAGAATATTACTCAGTATTTTTTATCTGAATCATTTAATTGTGGCACGTGATAACGTAAGTGAGTGCTGATTTATTCTTATTATAATTTGTTTACTTCTCTCATGCCATTACAAATATATATTTATTTATAGTTTTGTGCTACAGGCAGTCTATGCCTGGTTCACAATTCCATTCATATTATTTTGTTATTACACCTAAAAACAAAAGCTGCTGTTAATTGCCATGCCTTCGTTTTGGTTTCAACTCAGGAATCGAGTGGTTCAAAAGGATTATCTCGAGAACGAGTAGATCTACCAGAAAATACCAAAAAACATTTTGTCATGTCTCATAACATTTTCATGTAGAACCCCTCGTTATCCAGACAGTTAGGCCTTTAGAAAAGACGTCCCATTGGCCTTGACATTATCCGATTTAATTAACTTAACGTTAATGCTGGAATTAACGTTACAAAACTATTTTAATTCTGTATAAAAAAAAATTCCCTCAGAAATTTCGTCTAAATCCTCTCATTATCAAAATAATCAAAAAATTCCCAACAAAAACTTGAATTTTTTCATGAAAACTTCACTCCAGAATCACTCATTCCTTCAATAGCATCATCACAATTTCTCATGGACACGTATCATCATCAACAATGGACATTGTTTCAACGCTTGAAACCCAAAACTCTCTCGAGCAAGAAAAATCAATTTCCTTTGGTTGAATAACAAAAATAATTTAATTTGCACTGTCCATTCTCCAGTCTCAAATCGTCGAGATATCGGGGCTGGGCACTCACTGCTGCATTTTTCCCTGCTGCCTACTCGGCACTGGTCATGGGCATACAGCAGCTGGAGCGATGGGGTGACTGCTGTTTCGATAAATCCACAGTGTCTTCGACGAAAGGCCGTTCCAATTTGGCTTCGAGTTTCGCCCAGGCTGTCACAGCTGCGCCAAAAGCCTCCTCGACATTGGTCGCATTTTTCGCTGATGTTTCCACTAGTGGGGGATTGCCGTTCTCCGCGCACCAGGCGCGAGCTTCCTCGGTGGAGATCTGCTTCTCCAGGTCTGGTACATCAACCTGGAAAAATAAAAACGTTGATATTTTCTTCATCTTTGCTGAACGTCTGATTATATCAATAACGAGGGGTTCTGGAGGAAAATGTTGTGGGACATTTTTTGTGTAGAATTCAATTTCCTACAAAAAATGTTCCGGGGCATTTTCTCGCAGACCCACTCGTTCTCGAGAAAATGCCGTTCAACTACTGGACTCGTGAATTAAAACCTAAACGAAGTCAGCGCAATTGACAGGAGCTTTTGTTTTTTAAAATCCAAGTGTATTCAGCCTAATCATTTGTATCGCCTCGTAGTATTTAATGAACTCGATAAAATCGCAATTGTGATTTATAAAAAATTGACGTTCCAATGAAAAAATGACGAACATCAATGAAAAAAAATGGTACAATTCAGGAATTCCCTGAATGAAAGATTGATGTAAATTATAAAAATTTTCATTTATATTCAACAAAAAAAAGTACCTTGTTCCCAACGACAATGAACGGAAAGAGCGCTCCATCCTGCACATCGGCATAATAAAGAAACTCCGACCTCCAGAGCGCCAAATTCTTGAAGCTCGTCCTGTCGTCAACAGCGTAGGTCAGCAGGCATATGTCGGAGCCCCTGTAGAACGGTGTCCTGAGGGTTTTGAACCTCTCCTGGCCCGCAGTGTCCCAAATCTGGAGAGTGTACGCCTCCCCATTGATCTCAATGTCCTTGTTCAGGAACTCCACCCCAATAGTGTGAAAACTGTGTTCGTCGAAGTGATTGGAAACAAATCTGTTCATCAGGCAGGACTTGCCGACCCCTCCGTCCCCCAGGATAACCACCTTCAGGAGGGTCGACCTGTGGGAGTTGCGATTCGATGCTATCGACGTCCTGGGAGCTGCTGCCACTGAATTATTCATTTTCTCCTCAATTTTTTAAATAGATTGTTCAATTTAACTATTTATTAATCAATTCCCCTCAATAAAAACAGTTCAAAACTTGATTAAACACTCCAAGAAAATCCGAGCTCATAGAAAAATTAATTTTAAAAAAATGAAAATTAATAATTAATTAAATAACCTCAATTATAAAAAAAAATTCAAATGATAAATTAATTTGCCCGAATAAAAAACAGTTGTGCACTCGATTGAGCACTCCAAAAAATTCCAAATCCTTAATTCCTCAATTTTTCTCCAATCAGCCGTTGAAAACACCGAATAATCCCGCAACACTCTGAATTAATCTCTTTGTCTCCCTTCGTAATTAATCCCAGCGCAGTCCCTGAGTCATTGTCACGCACCACAGACCCCACACCGCCTCATAACTGATGAACGAAACTCCTAAACAGTCAACAATGATTCGAAAAGCTCGAGCGCCTCCGAGGGCTCGACTCGCAGTCTAATCCCTCTGGAGATCCTCACAACTGTCCTTTGACCTCGACGATCGATGCTTCCCGCGATTCTCTATCGAAAAAACACACCTGACACATCACTGACGGCTGGAGCATCACGAGAACAGAACACAACAGAACAATAAAACGAGGAGGAAACGAGGAAGAAACGCCCGTGCCTGACACTGGGACATGAGCACTTCTGCCACTATTTTAGAGTGAAAACTAGTTGAGGCTGTATCGATCAGCTGTTTCAAGGACTGGGTGGAGTGGTCTCATCCCTGGAGCGGAGAGATGACGGTCATCTAGGTAAGATAATTTCCGTGAACGAATTATCTCAAATAAAATGGATGAATAAATAAATAAATGAGAAAGAAAAAAACTTATACTTAAATAAGGGATTTTGACCCTCTTAATCGTCAACATCTCCAATATCTCTGATGGCTGAGTCAGGGCTCATTTTAAACTCTGGAAAAATCCCTTAAAAATGGAAAACAATTGTTCACTTTTACTCTTGTAATTCCCCGTTGTCGGGAATTAAAAACTGTCTATTTTATTCACTTGTGAAAATAAACAATACGATTCAAACACTTTTTAAAAATGAATCATTAATAATTTCATTTGATGTTTGAATTCAACCGCGCGCATGCGCAAGAGGTAGGTGGGCGTGCGCATGCGCGAGGGGGAGAGTCGCGACGCCATGTCGAGCCCGAGCGTCAGTTCTCTTTGTGAGTGGTCGCGGACGGTGTTACGCAGTACGGAGGTGCACGAAAATCGTCGGCCTGGAGTCGGCGCTCTCTTCGAACCTCGGGGAAGCTGTTTTTCAGTACTTGGTGATGCATATTGTGGTGATTAAATCATTTGGGAGAGATTAGCGAGGTGTTTTTGAGAAAAATCGGATGAATTGTGGAATTTTTTTCATGAAAATGGCGGCCCAGAGCCTTTGTTTGCTGATAAACAGTTACTGTTTGACCTTCACAGGGTTCGGAGAAATGTTTAGTGCATCGTGTAGTGATTTTAGCTGGTGACAAGATGGTTTTATTGAGTTTATGAGTAAAATCGGATGAGCTATGGACTTTTTTTCGTGAAAATGGAGACAACGGAGTGAAAATGACGAGCCAAAGCCTTTGTTTGCTGATGAACAGTTGTTTTTTGACCTTCAAAGGATTTGCTGAAGTGTTCAGTACGTCGTGTAATAATTTCAGCTTGTGGCAAGACATTTTTATTGAATTTATGAGTAAAATCGAATGAATTATGAGATTTTTGTTATGAAAATGGAGACAGACAGATAAGTGAAAATAGCCAGATGGAAGCCTTTGTTCGTGGACAAACAGTTGTTTTTGGGTGTCGTGGAGTGTTTAATGATTCAGGAAGGGTCATTTGGCACGTGTGCCTAGTGTTTAGATGAGTGAAGTGATCCTGATGTCCATTTTTTACAGAAAAAAGAATTAAATTGAAAAAAAAATTTGTTTGTGTTATTTTCGGGTTGTGTTGAGGTTTTATTCGTTTACTTAGCAATTTATTTATTTATCGGTGGAAGTGAGATTGAGTGTTGTGAAAGTGTAGGTGCCTTCGAGAGGACCGAACTTCGTGAACTACAACTGGAGAGGTGAAAACGGAGCTGTTATTTTCATCCAACGCCGGTGAGTTGCTTCAACCGTTTTGCATGTTTGACTTCATTCAATCAATTCAGAACATTTTTTTTAGTTATCGTGGAACAACCGATTTTCGAAAAAATTAAAAAATTGAAAAAACTAATCGATGAATTGAATTTTAATTGATTGCGATCGATAGGGCTCAACAATACCTAGTAAAAAAAGTCAAAAGCGTCACATTTTATCAAAAATGTGAATCAATGCAATTCGCTTTTCATGGATATCTCCGGAGCCCTCATTTTCATGGTCTTGTTGGAAAAGTAGGAAAATTTTCGGTTCCAATTCCCACGATTCCGTCCTTTTATCTCCAATTGAGGTCGCAACGTCAGGGAAAAAACATTCATATCTTGTCTGACATCTCTGCTACAAACTCTGGTCATCAACTCTGGTTTTCAGTTGCAATTGGAATTGTAAATTTACACAATAATAGGAGTGCATTGACGATTTTTTCTTGACTCGCAAAAATCTTCAAACAATTTGCTATCGATTGGTGATAAAATTTTTGGAAATAATGAAATAGGGGGGATAACGTCTTTTTTGTCAGGGGTGATTTTTCAAAAATTTATTTTAAAAAAAGTACTAACTAGCAAATGTTTTTTATCAGCTCGCAATTTTCTTCAAAACTACTTCAATGAGGAAAAAAAATAAAAATTTGGAATATCCCTACATGAGGGGCTAATTGATCGTATCTAAGATGAGATTATTGAGATGATGTGTCTCGACTCGGTGTGACACCTGGGGAGCAGAATCTCGCTTTGGTTAGGTTGGGATGTTGCACGTGTGTTTCGCTCGGTGAAGTGGTGTCCATTGAAGTACTGGGGGGTTATCATGGGCAAAGCGAAGAAGATCAAGGTGACCAAGGGAGACAGATCCGAGAAAATTCCCCTGGGGGATCAGATCGAGGGGGAGAAATCAGTGAAAATGAAGAATCGACAGAAGATCAGGTTTCGTAGGGATGAGGACGAAGAGGTTAGGTTTCTCTTCATTTGTTGGCTTAATTGGAATTATCGATGATTGTTGGGGCTTGTTGGATGATCATTGAGTCCAGGATTTCAAAGATTGAGGTGGTAATTCATAATTTTAATGATTTTTCAATGCCACAAGAATTTTTCGTGAATTGAAATTTAAAAAATCAGGTCTCACGTTGAAGGGAATTTCATAAGCTTTAAAATGAAATCAGATTTTTTCAAATCGCTTCGTTATTTTACGAGATATTGGCGATCTTCTGGGAAGGAATATTCAAGTTCATTTTTAAGTTTTCCTGAGATAATCCACCAGCCTGAACCAACAGTTATAAAAATCGACAATTTCAGCTCAATCATTGAGACTCTCTCGTTCTTCTGATTAAATTCCGCTTGTTCGTCGGATATTTCAGTTTGTCGACGCGAATCTCTCGCAGAAAATCCTCTCCCAAGCGCGCAAGCAGCAGCTGGAGCTCTCAGAGGACGCCTCTCCCTCGACGTCGAAAAAGCCCCTGACAAAGCTGGGTCCAGAACTGAGCGACGAAGAAGACCCCCCAAGTGAGGATGAGGTGACTTGTCAGGACTACTACGAGGACATAGAGATAAACGACGAGGACGAGAGGGCCCTCCAGATGTTCATGGACAGAGACAGAGCTCCCACGCGCACCCTCGCCGACATAATAATGGAAAAACTCACGGAGAAAAAGACAGAAATTGACACCCAATTTTCGGACGTCGGTTCCCTCCAGATGCAGGAGCTGGATCCTCGAGTGAAGGCCATGTACGAGGGTGTGAGGGACGTTCTGGTGAAATACCGAAGTGGAAAGTTGCCAAAAGCCTTCAAGATCATCCCTAGCCTTCGAAATTGGGAGCAAATACTCTATATTACTGATCCCCCCAGGTGGTCAGCAGCTGCCATGTACCAGGCGACCAGAATTTTCGCCTCTAATTTGAAGGAGAAAATGGCCCAGAGGTTCTTCAACCTCGTTCTCCTCCCCAGGATCAGGGACGATCTCGCCGAGTACAAGAGACTGAATTTTCACCTCTATCAGGCCCTCAGGAAGGCCCTCTTCAAGCCTGGGGGCTTCATGAAGGGAATTCTCCTGCCCTTGTTGGAGTCTGGCACGTGCACGTTGAGGGAGGCTGTCATAGTTGGCTCTGTCATCGCCAAGAACTCCATTCCAATACTTCATTCGTCAGCTGCTATTCTCAAAATCGCTGAGATGGATTACACTGGGGCTAACAGCATATTCTTGAGGATTTTCTTTGATAAGAAGTATGCTCTGCCTTATAGGGTGGTTGATGGGGTGGTCTTTCATTTCTTGAGGTTCGAGAGGGAAACTAGGGAGCTGCCTGTCCTCTGGCATCAGGCCTTCTTGACTTTTGTCCAGAGGTACAAGGGGGACATTAGCTCGGAGCAGAAAGATGCCTTGTTGGAGCTCCTGAAGAGGCAGAATCATCATTCGATTACTGGGGAGATTCGGAGGGAACTGATGCACGCCAAGTGCAGGGATGTCGAGGGGATCGAGCCTGGATCGGAACCCATGGCTCTGTGAAGTGACTAGAGGAGTTTTTTTACTGTTGAATATTCATTTTCACTTCAAATTTTACATCAATTATCCAGAAAATTCAATTCAATTAAAATAAAAAATTGAAATCACAAATGAAAAACACTATTGAATTGAATTCTTCTGAACCTTGTGACCCATTTTGGGAATTTTTGCATCCAATTTGAAGGGGAAAATGGCCCAGAGATTCTTCAACCTCTTTTCCTCCCTAATGAGTGGACTTGAAATAAATGTTGGAAGACATTTTCTCTCAACCTCCATCGAAATCTCAAAAATCCACTTTTTCTGGCTGAATAATTTTTTTTGCACTTTCGCCGTTATTTATGCTAGTTTATCTACTTATTATATTCAATAAAAATTCACAAACACAATTTCACGATAACACATGTTTATTTGGAGCTAATCCAATTTAATCAGATCGCAGAGAGTAATTAAATCGTTTCCCTTATCAATTAATTTAATCATAAAACGACGCATTGATGGACAGCAATGGAAATATTACTTCTGAATTCTACATTCGTATCGAACAAATTAATTTGGCTGTGATAAATTATAGGAATTGCTTGGGTTCAACGATAAAAAATTTATACAAAGTATAACATTCGCCTTAATTTCAAATAATTAACATTACTATGTACAGAAATGTGTGGATGAACAAATTGATAAATTAATTGATGGCTTTTCTTTTCGTTTAGTTTGTTCGCTGGAGTTTGAGTTTTTAAAATGCTTGAGCAACAGCTTGAGAAATAATTCGTAAGCGTCCCTTCGAGCTATTTATTATTCTTCCCATTTGAGGGATTTTTTTTCAGTTCTCTTTGTTTCGTTTGAAATTAGAATTCTAGTAGCAGTTGATAGGAACGCAGACTCTTAGTTAATGGGAGCCAACTCAGGGGGGACAGTCTTTTTAGGAAACTCATTTTTTCTTGAAGAAACTTGTGATGCTCTTCGAGCCAGCCGCTGCTTTTTGCCTTGCTATCTCCTTTTTTGAGGCTGTTTGGGGTTTCTGGGGCTGAAAACGATGATTAATAGGTGAAATTAGCTATTTAAATAATTTTTTTGAAGCTAATTGGAAAGATAATCATGATAAAATTTCAATAAATGAAGATTTTATGGAAATTGAGGGTTGGTTCATTTTTCTTCATCAATATCCCTGAAATTATTAGATTTAGAAAATAATTTCAATCAAATTCTCTATAAAAAGTGTTGTATCAAATTTTTCGGTAGCAAGAGTCATTAACGAGGTAATTCAACAATTGAGAGACTAAAAATTGCGAAAGTTGAAATAAAACAATTACTATGAAATTAATTGCTCCTGAGGTAAATGAATATTTACCTTTTCTGGTTTCGTGAGGTCGAGAGCTCGTGTCCTGGGGGACTCTTCGTCCATGGAATCCTTCTTCTGTCGTTTCTCCTCAGGAAGTTCCTTGGGACTCATCAGCTTGCGTTTGTTTTTGTTCTCCTCCTCTGGGAGATTCATGTTTTGAGCCAGTTTTTTTGAGAGATCTTCAGTCAGGTATTCGGAGACTATACCGTGTGCATATTTCAGGTATTCTGTTTGAAGAAAAAACAAGTGGACAATTGCATTTTTTTTTATAAATGAGGGGAGTTATTGTTGCTCATAAATTAGCAATTTTTAAAATACTTGTTTCACTATTTTCTCTCTCCTTCTATTTCTTCATGTCATAGTACTATCATCAATTGAAATGTCATGAAAATTTTGCGTATCATTTCGTTCTGTCTCAAGATTCGAATTCATTTTCAAGAGGCTATTGTCATCAATTTTTTGAGTGATCATTGAAAAATCGATTTTTGGAAAAATATCAATTTTTTCGAATCCGTATGAAAAATTAAATTTTAATTGGTGTTAAAGTCTATATTCATGGAAAAAATTCCTGAAATTACAAAACCTTCCATTCGAAAGGAAAAATTAGTTAAATTTACCATTATCACTGCCAGCCTCGTATTTAGTACTCTTAACGTAATTGGCACTGACAGCCCCCTGGCCGACATGAATGCCCTTCTGCCTGAGAACATCAGCGACCCTCTCGACCTTCTTCTGGAGCCACCCCAGGGTCTTCTCCTCGTTGTACTTGTAAGCCTGATACGACTCGTCCCCCTTGCGATCGGCCACCAGCGACACTTTCAGGCTCTGACACCTCGCCAGTCTTATGGTCTCGGGGTAGTCCTCGTCCCTGAGGCACTGCTCGAGGGGCAGCACCTGCTGCGCCTTCCTCAGGTACGGTAGGACCAGAAAAATGGGATCGATGGGGGTTGATAAGTGCATCTTTCCATCGGATTTAACGTTCTCGTCGATAAACCACGAGCGCTTGTTCTCGTCGAAGGTCAAGACCTCTTGGACCGTCTGGTCACCGGGACTGAAGACGAACATTGCTGGTTGGTTTGTCGCTGGATGACGAAGCTTCACGATGTCCGGGGGATTGCTGTCAGAACCGCCAACTCCATCTCCTAAAAACAATAAGGACAATAAAGGGAGAATGGCTTCCTTCAAGCGTTCAAATCGTTCAAATTCCTTGTCCAAATTGCATCGTTCGTTCAAGAGATATCGAAGATTTAGTGGAGCCATTTTTTCTCACCCTCTCTTAATTGCTTAATCCGAAAATATCTTTCCTGATAAATTTTGCACAATTATCGATTTAATGATTATATAATCAATCCTCCAGATAAAGCGTAATTAATTTTCTTACACATATCTGCAATTTGTGAATAATTTAATCGTTAATAAATTATAATTTACATCAATCATCCAATTATAAAATTTACTTTCACAAGCACTAGTTGAAATAATTCTTAGCTCCTAAATTGCACAATTTTTTCGTTGACTACCGTAATTTTTTAGAGGGAGCCTAGGGGAAAATATCGCATAACATTTTTCGTAGGAAATTTAATTCTCTGCAAAAAATGTATTACGGCATTTTTCTCCAAATCTACTTGTTATCGAGATAATTAAACATTTAGAAAAGATGTTTTGTTTAACTCGGGATTAATTCAAGTAATTTTTGGACTATCTCTAGGAAAAAATGACAGAAAACATTTTTCGCTGGAAATTCTCTTCTCTAAAATAAAGTCTTCTCACTTATATTCGAGATAACTCACAATTAGCAACTGGAAATTTTCATGTTTCATGCGAAAACAATTTCCAAAAAGTTATCAATTCGTAAAAAATTAAATTTATCTCAGTAGCTGTACTCTCTGGCCAAAAAATGAAAAGAACCCCAATGAAAAATGCCAAATTTCCACTTCCTAACCACTCTCATCCCCTCATAATAGGCGTATCCACAAAAATTGATCGACTCTCGTGTTTTTTTTTTCTCTTCATATTCACCTTTCATAAGAAAAACCCATGTATTACTCGGTGAATTGGTGTTGGCTGTTTTCACACACTTCTTGGGTGATCCCTTGACCCGTGGCATTTTACAACCACGTGTTTGTTGTTGTCAATTCTATTGTTGCAATAATCACTTAACACAGCTTTTTTCGCGCCTAATTTATCGAACGACTCACTTCGATGCACGGATTGCTGGGCTGCAGAGGGTAACGGTGGGTGGGCTGGGGGTGGGGGTATAACGCATCATCTACTGGCTTTTTTTTTTTTAGAATTCACTTTTTGCATTTATGGTGGAACCCGGGTATCGCTGGAATAGTGTAGAACGCTGGGGGTAGAATTGGGAATTGCTGTGGCGCTGGAATCACTTGGCCTCGGTTGGACATCAAAATCACGGTTTTTTTTTGTTCACTCTTACCACGAGAGAATATCTCAGTCGTAGGTAAAGTAGGTAAAGTATAGCATCTGAGCGAGAAGAAAAGATGACGCGTGAGAAAATTCATTAATGAACTCGTTAATATTGAATTGTGACCAATTCAGAGACTTTGAAAACTAGAAAAACTTTGTCATGTGATTTTAATCCAATGTTCAATTGTATTTTTACAAAATTTTAGTGCATTGGGGGCTCTAATGAGTCTAGTCACACGTGTACATCGAACTGAATTCATCAATAATCTTTTTTAAAGATGATATTTTGTTTTTTTCTCGATAATAACAGTTATCGGCGAGAAAAAAACAAAAATTGAAGAGCAAAAAGATCAAGCAGGCAGGCCTCCACTAACGCTGCCGTATGCTAATCCAATATCCTCAGGGTCATTCTGGGCACATTGAGCATTGGAATGGATAGCTTGATCCACATATAGTACAACCCCATGTTCACATGAATGGAGGCCACAAAGAAACGTAATACGGGTGAAGTCCAGGCCATCACAAATCCATAATGTCTATTTCTGGGCTGCATCACCTTGCGGAAGTAGCTTCCCTGTCACACGATTAATGCATCATCCAATAATTTATAAAGCTGGGAAATTATTTAAAGACGATGTTCCGAGATGATAAAGCCTAATTTCGAAGCAAATGTGTGTAGAATAATTTAGGAAATTTTTTGGTCTGATTTCAGTTGAGGGTCAAATGGTTTTCACGGGGGAACGATTTGCGCGGTGATCAGAAAGGGCCATTTGACCCGTTCTCGAGACTCGTTTGACCCTCAAAACAAAAAAAGTTTACTGAATTATATTAAACAGCCCGTGAATTTCTGTCCTAATTATCAAATTATCTCGAAAACCATCAGGTTTAGCTAAAAATATCTCCAGACCTTTTTTGTAGCTTTTTCATACACCCACTCATTACCCAACTCATTATTAACCAACAGAAAAATAATTTTTTTTCTTTACTCGAACGGTTTTGATGGTTGTCATATTTTTTCTGACCATTAATCTGATCCTTGTGACCCTTAATTTTGGACTCTTATTTTAGAGTACCAAATTTTGAACATTTTCAGCGCCACGAAAATGGGGTTTTTCAGGTCCCTCGACACGAAAATTAATATACACGCCTCGCCATGGAAAACATATCACCCTCGGCTTCGGCTCGGAAGGCAATCTTGCACGTGGGGGACGGTGATCTGTTTTCCAAGGCTCGGGCATGTAGTGTACTATTTCTTGTTGAATGTCAAATTAATTTCTAATAAGAAATTCAACTCCTCCGAACAAGTTCTCCCGATATTTTTTCGTAATAGAATAAAAATAACGCAGTAATCAGCGATACATCTCTCACTAATTAATGAAGAAACCCGACGGGCAATTGAAAAAAAAAACGTCAAACAACTTCAAGATTATCAAACATATATATATTTTTTCTCCTTTTATTAAACACAGAATCACAGAGCAAACTGGACATGTTTGGAGGTGGGAAAGAGGATTACCGGGTGATTACAATCGTTCATCATGAATTATCTTCACAATTTAATTATTTCTCCATTAATGATAGTGTTACCTCGCTGTTACACGACGAAGCCACGCCCCATTTGATCGTCCTGTGTTCATAAACTCAATCAAATGAAAAATTCCTTCTAAACAAGGAACGATCGATAAATCAACGGTTACGTCATTGCGGCAAGCATTTGATTGTAATTACTTACTTCGTTAGAAAAAACTATAGATTCATTTGACGGGACCTCTTCGTTATAACTGCGAAATCGCAGTTTATTTTTCCATCTTTACGTCAATTTTCTCTCTCTCTCTCTCTCTCTCTTTCTCTCTCTCTCTCTCTCTCTCTCTCTCTCTCTCTCTCTGAAGATGGGGATTCAATTAGTTGGAAGTTGTCAAGTTTATTTACAGATTCAAGGCAATATTGTTAATTATGAGCTACATGCATACGTGTCCAACACTCTGGGATATTCCGTATTAATCACCACTTTCATCGACGAAAAGAAAGAAAACCTCCAGTTGAATTCATTCAATAATTTTGTACAATAGTTTTCATGTCAATAGCAATTTCAATTATGCTGATTTTATTATCAAATGTTTTTATAATCTTTCTGTTGATTAAAAATCGCATTCTAGGAAATTGTTCATTTCTTTCATATAAAAAGTTTATTCAATCAATCTTTCAATAGTTGATTCACTAATTTTCTTCGTTTTTTTTTTTTCATCATTCAATTACGTCGATTCTCGTGCGCAAGCACCGTTTTACAACGGCATTATTCATTAGTATTATCTACTATCTGTTTATTGTTAATATTAATCATTATACCTTGGGATTATTATCAATTAATAATCTCACGCATTCACAATCATACAAATTTTTAATTCAATCATTCGTTTCTAGTTTTAGGTTGTTGTTTCACAGGGAAAAAAATTGAATGGAAAATTCATCATTTTCTCTGAAATTCCAGTGGAAAATTCATATATTTCTCTGTTTAATGAATTTCATTAATGTTTTCAGCAAAATTGAAATTTTGCTTGAAAAAAAATTGCTAACTTGAAGGAAATACTTGGATTTCCTTCCTTAAAGTTAAAAAAATCATGCCCAATAATTTTTATATAAAAAAAATATACAGAATTCATTTGATTAAAAAATCAATGTGCAAATATTAGCTATCAATGGAACTTCCAATAGAATTTTCCAGTGAAAACTAGATTTTTCCGCTCGATTCTTTCATTTTTTGTTATTCTCTTGATTTCTCTTCAATCTTTTATCTTCTAGCCTAATTCCAACACTTCTTTCTTCATTCAAAAAACTAATTATCCTTCCACCCCCCCCCTCCCCCGGTCGTTTTGTCGTGGCCACCTCTAAAACGTAACAACTTTGTACTTGCAAGCAATCATTGCGATTTTCTAGTTCTCTTTTCATCATTTTTCGTCCATCGTTTGGATTTTTCATATGCGTTGGCAACTCTCTTTCTCTTGGTTTTATCGTAAGTACCGGGTAATTAATGTGGTTGATTGGTTTTAGTGAGGCTTGGTGTATGGAAAAGTCTGAAGTCACTTTCAAAGTTTTTTTTTTAGGTTTAATGATGGAGATGTTGATTTTATTGGAGGAAGATTCGTGAGTGGAGAGTTTTGAGAGGAAATGTTGAAAATTTTCCTCGTGGGAATTTAGTGAAATGAAGAATGTCGTTTGACAACGAATGTTGAGTTTTGATTTAAACGAGTAGATTAATTGATGAAATACTAGAAGAAAACGACGATTCAACATTTTTTTTGTTTTGATTTTAGTTGAGGGTCAAACGAGCCTTGAAGACTTGTAGAGTTAAGGGTCAATTGACCCTTTCTGATCACTCTGTTCTAACCCCATTTGATCCTCAACTGGAATCCAAAAAAAGTTGCTAATTATCCCTTTCTCCTGATATTCATTCACATTTTTCTATTAAATTTCATGAAAAAATATTTAAAAAACATTCTCCACAACCAAAATCTCCAAAAACTCTAGTGACTTTCACATGGATAAATCCCACCAATTGATCACAATATCATATGTCCCCTGTAAATTTTTACAGTTACCTCTAAATAAAAAAAAGAAATTCGATAATTCTTCCAATAGGAAAATCGACGTGGACATGGATAACTCGTCCTACTTGTGTACAATGATTTGACATTAAAAAAAATTTACTTCTGTTACAAAGTGTATAATTAGTAAAAAATGTCGACGGAACCGTTGCGAAGAGAGCCCGAGGGGCTCGACGCATGATTGCCCACTAATCATTCAATTATCAATTAACCCCTCTCGTTAATTACGGAAGCACCAATTTGTTCACTAATTTCTCATTTTTTTATTTTAGTTTTACAAAATGAAAAATCAAATAATCGTCGTTAACATTCTGAGATTGAGCCCCAGTCGAGTTGTCGATTAAACACATTTATCGAGTGTTTTTATTCTGTTGTTTATGCAGATGTTTATTCAACTGCTATTGTGCATTAATTTCATGTTCATTCCACTTTTAGTCCCAGCGTAATGCAGCTGACGATACTCCCTACAGCTTAGTCTTTAATTTTCTCACAGACATTTTAGTTTGATGATTTTTTTTTGTATAAATTCAGGAAATTGCGGGGATTATGTAGACACATTGATTTGAGGGAAATTAAATGTGATGAATTCAGTAATGAAGAGGGAAATCGAAGAGATGTTCAGGTTTATTCGGGTGGGATTATCGTGAGAATTAGTGGATTTGGGGGAAAATGTCACAGACCATTTTTGTTAGAAATTTCATTCTCCAAAAAAAGTCAAAACACTTTTCCTCCTAAAACTGCTCATTAACGAGTTTTATTCCACTTGACCAGTTTTCTTCCTCTCTATATGCGGAATTATCTCATCAACCACTCTCCAATCCCAAATAAATCCCACAAATTTCCTCTACAACTTCATTACTGAATAAAAAATCAATATTTCACGATATAAAAAACCGGATGTGGGACTCTCGAGGAAATGTCACTGATCAACTGCCCCCCCCCCTCTCTGAAGTACATATTGATAATCGATATCATCATTGATCAATAATTTGCATTTGGATAAGTACAACTGCTGCTCTCAATCGTGAACTGTGACTCATGCCTCGATCACAATCAGAAAATAAATCAAGAACCATTTGAAGATGGGGGGGAGTGCTTGAGGGAATAACAAAGCATTTTAAACTGTTCTGTTCTGTTTGAGGCAGTTGATTCTCTTTCAGTCTTACATTGACGATGAGAAAGAGGAGGAATTAAAGGTAGAGAATAACGAGAGACAATGGGGAATCTCGAGGGCTGGGATTATTCATGGTACTGGGGTTATTGATGCTGCAATCCAAGACAATTAAATTTCTCCTCCATTCGTGTACAAAAGACGTAACACTCGATTGCGGAGGATTGTTGAGGAGGCTGGAGGGGGAAGGGGGGGGGGCACCAGCTGATTGGCTCCTCGAAGTTATTGTCCATGTGGCAACCATATCATTGGATGATTTATAAAGAATTATTCGTGGTGTTGATGATAAAGTCAGAGTTGTTCGATTCTGGGGTGAAGTTTGAATTTGTCATTTCGGTTATTCTGCGTTTATCTCGAGAAATAATGGATTTAAAAAAAAAGGTGTCAGGAAACTAAATGTAGGGGATTGAATTGCACACAAAAAATGTCTTGTGACATTTTCTCCTATACCTAGTCCTTCTCGAGATAGTGACAACCATGAAAAATGAGCTTCGTCAAGTTGAGTGCAGAATCGCTTCGCACAAATCTGCGATTATCTCAGAAACAAGTGGATTCAGAGAAAAATGTTTCATACATTTTTTGTAGAGGATTAAATTTCGAGAAATTTCGAGAAGACGTCGAGAGAAATCTTATTCAAGTTTTTGATACGAAACCACTCATTAATAAAATAATTCAACAGTCAATTGCTAATAAAATAACTGAAGTTCAATAAAAAACTTCAATCAATTCCTCAATTATTACGAAAACAACTGCATTTAGAGCAAAATGTCACAAGAAATTATCTCCAGTGATAATAGTGAAATTTCCCACAAAAAGTGTCTTCTAACATTTCCCACTAACCCCCCTCCATCCCGAGATAATTTTCCCTGAACTTCACCCCAAAATCGCAATCTCAAAAAATTGTCAATTCTCTGGAAGATGTCTACCTAAACCTACCTAATTACTGATATAATAATCGTCTGGAGACTGAAAAAATTCACTGATATGCATTACAACGTCTACCAAAAATAATAAATGAGTGAAGAAGCGTCGGTTGGTGATTAATCCCCTGGAGATTGAGTCGATTCGCCCCTCAGGTCTCAAATTCCCCGAAATTTCGCATCGTATACATGTTTACAAACGACGAGAGAAGTCTCCACCGAATTACCTCATCATCATTTCCACACTGTTCAACTCTCAAATATTTATTTTCATTAAAAAATTTGTTCAACTGCTCAATGAATGGAAGCCAAAAGGCAGTAGTCTCTCCGTCATTAATGAGCATTAATTATTTCACCGACAATCAGTCGTTTTTTTTTTTTTAATAATTAATGTAAGCCCTCGTCAACTGCCTCAACATCATGTCCTGTTCCTTCTCCAGACGATAATTCGTAGATTGAATGAATTATTTTGAATGATTTGTCGACTCCAGCTGGGGTAAGGAGCACTCGTGGGCTGGGTTTTAGCTCATTACTGAATTATTGTTATCGACAGAGCGACATGTGAGTCCAGTTGCCCGAAGAATACCGTCGAGAGCCCTCCTCAGGGTGCAGCGTGACGCAACGAGGCTGACCGCGAGGCCAGGCTCTCGTCTGGGCTAGGAAGCACCCATTGAGTCACCACCAGGGCTTGAATTGTTCTGCATCTGTCCTTGGTCCTGATTGTACGGATGATTGCTGTTGCAGAGAACTGTGTAGATGTTGTCCACGTTGCTGAGCTTCTCGAAGAAGGGGATTAGGTCGAGGAGCTCGGAGTCTGTCATGTCGTCAAACCAGGAAGCCACTGGCACCTGTCAGCAACAAAAAATTAAATTTTTTTTCTTCACATTTTTCGTGAAACATTTCATTGGAAAATGAGAGACTTTTTCAACTGAAAAATTAAAGCCTTAAAAAAAATTCTTCCAAAAATTTCCCCCAAAATAATGAAATAATCAAAACATTTAATAAATACTTTCCGCTGCTCTCTGTTACTAAAAATGCAAGATCAAAATTCATATTTCTGCTTGAAAGTAACAGTGAGATATATTTTATCATCGATCTGGAGTTCTGAATCTCTGACCCTGAGACATTGGATTAATATTCAGAGACAAACAACATGAGGATGAGGATAAAAAATGCGTTTGAGCCACATTTGATTGGATTTCTTACCGCATTGTCCGGGTGAAATATGTAGCTCGCTGGGCTATTGTCGACGATGATGATCTGTTGAAGGTCCCTACCGAGTTTATTCAAATCCTTGACATAATTGCCCCGGTGAAATACGCATGATTCTCTAAAGAGCCGAGCTCTGAAGACTCCCCATCTGTCGAGCAGATCTGCCACTGGATCTGCGTACTGGGGGATTGTGAATAAAATTCTCATTAACACACTTTGGGTAATTGAGGGGAATTCGTTAAGCACATGGCATGGTAAATGCATTGAAGAAGTTGTTTATGAAGTTTAATTCACGTTCAGTGAATTATTTATAGACGACTGGAAGGAACTTGGTGAATTTTTGGAATATCTGCGGAGAGGATGGGTTTAGGGGAAAAATTGACGGGAATTATTTGCCAAGAATTTCACGAGCTATAAAATTTCTTCATGACATTTTTCTCAAAATTCATTATTTTTCTAGATAATTGGGATTTTATTTTTAACGAGGGCTTTTAAACGATAAAATAAAAAAGTTTAAACTTTTATTTTTCACTTTTTGTCGAGTGAAATATCTCCGGAATGACGGGGTTTCCAGGAAAAACTCGTAGGACATTTTTGTTGGAGAATTTCGTCAGTTACAAAAAAGATAACCAGTCAAATTTTCTCCTAAACCATTGCCTGCTCTTCCCAGATAATCGTAAAAAACCTCTTCAATGTCATCGAGATCTCCCCCACAAACAACTCTCGTGATGAAAAAAAACTTATAAATGTTTTTGCCTCTAATAGTCCATCCTTTTAATTGACACTGACCTTTGCTAGACTGGCTGTGAATAGTACACACTCGTATAATTCTCCCATTCTCTGCAAAAACTCATCGACGTAAGGCCTCTTAAGAACATACACTTGATGCACGGTCCCATCAATTTCAACTGGTACAACAAAGTCAGCATTGTTGATGGGCTTGAATGAACTGTGTACCAGTGTCTCATCAAGATCAATCACCATACACTTTTTGTGCATATCCTGATGCCTGACTGGTGGCAGGAGAAATCTGGGTGAACCAGTGCCAGGTGGTGGTGTACCTCTGCCATCACCCTGGAGGGAACTGGCTTTGGAGCTCTTGGAGCTACCACCTCGTCCTCTACCGAGGCAACACAGTAGTGAACGCAGCAGTCCACGGCCTCGGGGCTTCTTACCCGATGGTCCATTGTTGCTCGGTTCATTCTCCCTTGGTAATTGTGCTGGCGAAACACAAATTTCAGGCATTCCGTTAATTGTATTCTTGCAAGTGGTAGAAAGTTTTTGTGTTAAATGAAATGATTTCTTATTAAGGATCAATCGAATTTCATCAATTTTTCATTTTTTCCAAAAATCGATTTTTCAACGACTGTTGTAGTTGCTGAGTTACAGCACATTGTTTGCGATTTGAATGAGAAAATGGGTTTTTCATCATTGCTGAAAGAATCATCAGTAACAGCAATTAAATCAGGGCTTCTTAATCAAGTTGAAAAATGGTGAGAACAGCATGATTGCTTATCAAGTTACACAATACCGTCATGAGCTTTTTATATAAAAATCTCTATCTCTACTAAACTCAGGTACTAGTCCATTATGTTGAATAATTATTCATATTAGTCAGTAGTAATAGGAATTTAAAAAAGAGAACTCACTCGGAAGCAAATTGTTAATTTATTAGCAACAATAATTATTGTTATATTTTTTTTTCTATTGATGACTGGGATTTTTTTATTGAAGAGGAAATTTCAAGTAGTTGTCTTAATGAGCAAATTTGGAGGAAAAAATCATTCCCCTCCCAAAATCCGCTCCAGACAAATTAATTGTTCCAAAAATAATACCTAGGAACAAAACACTAAAATGAACCGTCTAGACTCATCAATATACTCATCTCCCTCTAAATCCTCCAAAAATATCTCCAAAGCAAAAAAAAATCGTCCGATTTCACTCTGGCGATCGCCAGTTATTGGCAATGAAAAATCCTAGTTGAAATAATTTGCATGTGTCCCCCATCTCTCCCTGATTCCCCCCTAGTCCAACACATCCATCATGTCATCCTCCTAAAACCCTCCCAAAACTCAAAAATTTCATGCCCCAATAGGTTAACCATTCTCCCCCCACCCCACCCCTTTGAACAATGTCCCGACCCCCCCTCGCCCCGTAACAGGTGTATGTATGTACAACCCAACCCGAACGCACACCAACTCAGCATCAGTCCAGTGCCTCCACTTCATCTCCCGAGTGAAAAAAAGACCAACCAACAAAAAAAGGCCTCGACGTAGAGCGAGACACAAAATCGTCACACCCAATTCCTCAATGTCCTACCTTTCTCGTTATTGAAGTGTCCCAACTCGTCATCCCTCGACACTTGAGTGATAATGGACGATGCGTCCATTTAAAACATGAGTTTGTCTCTCCCAGTTGGTGGTTCTCTGTTTTTTTTTTTCGCACGAAAAAAAAGTAAATACGGTACGGGGGCCCAGGGGCTAGCGCAGACACACGTAAAAATACATTCACTGCATTTGTACTGAAAATACAAATGCCACAGACACTGTCACTTCCTCAATGCGACAACTGTTTTCACCCGTTGCCGCCACAATATCCAGGGGAAACACAGATGGATGAGTAAACGTGGGTGCTGTGGACACAACACAGCGACGAGAGTGTGCATGAACGATCGGATAATGATGCATGCATCCACGGTTTATTTAGTTTATTTGTTGGGCTGTTTTTTTTTTTGCTTGAGAATTTGTTCGGAAATTCTCGAGAATTTTCAGGGGATTTTTTATTTATTTTTTCGATGATGTCTCGCGGCCAACCGCGGACACACTGACTCTGTGATGTTTCGCGTTTCGGAGACTCTTGGGGGAGATGTCGGCAATAATGTCCTTGGTTTTGGCGCGAGGGGGCAGCACATATCGATGAGTGTGTCTCGGATTGTTATCGTTTGTTGGGGATTTTATGAGCGAACCGAGGGGCAAGGGGGTCATTCGTACCATCTCAGTGGACACATTGCGTTTTGGGCACATTCTAGGGAAAATGGGGACAGTACGAAAGGCGGTGGAACAGGGCTCGGTATTGGAGATATCTTCAGGAAATGACTTACCATTCGACAGTGTTGATCATATTTAGGATTTTTCCAGAGGAAAATCACTCCTTTAAAAAGGTTTACCCAAGATTTTGCACTCAGACACTGAATAATAAAATAATTATCTCCCAATTTTTATTTGTTTCTAAGATAAATATATTTATTTACAATTTTATAATCATTCTGGGGACCGAATAAATACTTTACCACACTCAAACATCGGTTTTGTTGCTTGGGTGGGGGATTGTTTCATTATTATCACTGATATTGTGCAAAATTAGTTGACAATGTATAAAATTGGTTTGAAAAAGTCTCGTACAAAATTGAGAATTCGGAATGATCTTACGTTGAATGAATGAATAAGCTTCCAAGACGAGCGAATTACAAAAAAAACAAAAATCAACGAACAGCTGTCATTGACCACAAATTTGAATACTGGAACGTCTCAAAAAAATCCCGAGTAATTAACACGTCAATTCGCAACACTTTAAAAATCCCATGGGCATTAATTACCTAAAACAAATTCATTTTCACTTCGAGTGAGCTTGGATCTTATCATTTACTGAATCACTTTAGAACTGGTCTTTCACTGGAATATAAAGCTACTTGTTCTTCATCATCATTGTTCGACGTGTCATTCTACCACAGAACAAACCCATTATGAAAATTATTCCGATGAGAGTAAATGCTACGATTAAAAAGTATCTTCTCGATGGAGATTGGTTGACTGTTGTATAGAGTTCCTCTATCGTATTGGGTAAATGTAGCTGAAAGAAACAAAAAATTTTTTCATTTTTTGAGAAAAAATCTAGGGGTCAATCTTGAGGGTCAAAGGGGAGAGACGATCGAAGTGATCGCTCCACTTGTCTCTTCCATCCGACCCTCAAGGCTGTTTGAACCTTCATTTGCATTATGTCACTATCATCATGACGATGTCTGATTAAAACCAGCTCATGTTTCACATTGACCATAATTTTTCGATAATCTTCAGCGAATCCCAACAGTCAGGTGTTTATGAAATGAGATTTTTCATGAGAGTAGTCATACCACATTCTTAACTTGATCCATCTCATTGGCATCAATTCCCTAGCAGATTTTTACCCCACAACTCCCTTACCTTTGCGACATTCTTAAACATCTCGATTCGTTTGGACAGCATTTTGAAACAATCTGGCTCCAGTGGCTTTTTCCCATCATTCATCGTATTTTGCAAACACATGATATCTGCAATTTAAAAAAAAAACCGTCAAAAGTCACGAAAGAAGCTTGGAGAAAAGCAAGTGCGTGCACTTACGTCTTCCAGATCCTTGAGCGACATCGCTGCAATACTTGACGACATCATTGGAGCACGCCCTATGCAACAGTGGATCAAAGTGAATATCAGCCTTAGCCTCTTCAATGAGGTCCGCAATTTCAACCTTGCACTCCTCCCTCATCTCGGGATTCCCCTTATTGAATTGCATCTTGAGGCACTCCTCCACAGCATCACTGTCATCATCCTCAGAATGACAAATGGTCTGTATCTCATGGCTGCACATGGCCACCAGCAGTGGATTGAGATGATAGTTTTGCGCAGCTTCTTTAAGGATAATCGTCATCTGCTTCTGGCACCTGGCCCTGAGCTTTCCCTCCCTGAACTTGATCTTGAGGCACTTGACCACCTTGCCCTCCAGCTCCCTATCAGCAGGCTCATTATGAACAACCTTATCGCACTGAGTGATGATGTCATGTGAACAGGCAGCATGAAGTGCCCCATTGAACCTGTAATCGGTATTCTGTTCAATCATCCTTCTGACCACAAGATCCTTGCACTTTTCATCGAAGGACACCTCATCCTTGACCCCCTTCAAGCAATCAAACACCTTGGATTTGTCAGGATCCTTCTGACAGAACTGCCCAATCATCGATTGACACGTATTCCAAAGCAAAAAGTCACTGGAGCTGTCGAGGAACTCCTGCTGGCGCACCTTGAACAGCTGCTTGTGACAGGTGTTGGAGAGTTTAGACTTGTGGGAAGCCAGACACTCCAGGATCTGCGAATTGCCAGGATCGATGTTAAAGCAGTACTGCTTGATCTCAGGCTGACAAGCCTTCTGCAGCAGAGGATCCAGATTGATGTTCTCCCTCTGCTGGTACAACTGACTCCTCAACTGCTGCCTGCAGTCCTTCTCAATCCTGTGCTTACTGCCACTGGTGATGTCCTCCCTCACAATATCACTCAAACACTCGATGACTTTTGCCTTGGTCGCAGCCTTGTCGCAGAAACGATCGACATGCTGTTTGCAAGCCTTCTTAAATTTGTACGTAAAATGATAGTTCTTCAACGATATGATCTGAATGTGTTCGATAGCAGCTTTGCAGTTGTACTCGACATCGTTCTTATGTTTGATGAGGCACTCCATCATGTCTCCCTCATCCTTTCCACTCTTCAAGATGTCCTCGCAATACTTGTCCAGTGCTTTTCCACACTCCGACATGATGATCGGATTCAACTCGACTCGCTCCCCTTGATCCTCAGTCAAATTGTTGACAGCTTGCTTGCACTTGTCACTCAACTCGTCCAGATTATCCTGCAGGCAGAGGATCTCCTCGCCTTTAGCCACTTTGTCGTAGCAGTTGTCAGCAAGATCTGCGAAACAGGCTTGCTCGATTTCCGGTTGAAGATCGACACTGATGGCTCGCTGACGCATGATTCTCCTGATCTCCTGGAGACAAGCGGGCTTCAAGGTGACGTTCTTCTGATGATCTGCGTAGCGATAGAGACAGGGGAGCACAAGGGGCCCCCTCTCAGGGTCCATCAGGCTGCCGTCATCGTTCCACGCGCTCTTGGCATTGCACAGCTGCACAGCATCACTCTTGCAGGCCTTGTAGAGCTGAGGATCCAGTTTGTAGTCCCTCACGACGAAGTACTGGATCTGCAGAAGAGCAGTCTCGCAAGCCTCGCGCATTCTGTCAGTGCCCAATTTGTCCATGAGACAGTAGATGACTCTGGCATTTCCTCCTTGAACGTCTCTGCAGAAAGAATCGACCACTGGTTGACACGCCTCATGCAAGACTGGGTCGACCCGCCAGTCCTCGCCGGCGTCCGTCTCCTTGATGAGTGTCTCCAAGGCTCGTTGGCACTCAGGACGAACCTTGTTCTTGGGCTTGCGGGCTTTGGTGTGCTCCATCAGACAGTGGATGGTCACTCCGCCGAGCTCCAGGCCGTTGCAGAAGCGAGAGATGTCTGGGGAGCAGCCGTCGACGATCTCCGGTGACAAGTGGTAGTCCTCCATGAGGATCTTCCTGTGGTCGAACATCTCCTTCTGGCACTCTGGCTCAATCTTGGTGCCGTTCTTTGCTGCGGTCTCCAGGCAGAGGAGGATCTGAGCCAGTCTGATGTCCTTATCGTCGGAGACTGATCTTCTGCAGTGGTTGGTTTTGATGTCTTCCTTGCAAGCTTTGACGAGACGCTTGGAGGCCCTGTAGTCCGAAGCTATCACCTTCTCTCGCCTCGACAATTGGTCCTGGCATTGCTTCGACATTGTGCGGTCTAGCTGGTGCTGCATCAGGCATTTGTAGACTTGGCCACTCCCTGGGTGAATGCTTGGGCAGAATTTTATGTGATCTTGCATGCAGGCGAGGAAGAGTTGGCGGTCTAGTTTGATGTTCTCAGACTGAATTTCCGAGATTCTGGAGATGCGTTTGTGGCACTTTAGATCGAGGTTGTCGAGTTGCGCCTGAAGGCAGGAGATCATTTGGCCTTGGGAGATGTCGCGGTGGGGCTGGATTCTTCCGCACTTGAACTTGTCAATGTCGGATTGGCAGTCGTTGACCATCGGTGTTATTATCCGAAAGTCACTGAAGGCAACGAATTCCAAACGCTGAATGAAATCCGAGCATTGTGGATTTTTGACGCTCTCGCGTTTTTCGATCAGACAGGCCAGGTAGGCGCCGGGCTCCTGATTCTTGGCGGGACACTGGAGCTCGTCAATGTCCTCTCCGCACTCTTTGCGGGTCAGCTGTTCGATGTTTTCGTTTTCGGTTATATTTATTATGTGCTTCCATATCTGGTGCTGACAGTCGTCGTCTATCATGTAGGCTTCGTTTGTCTGCAAATAGTTTGGGGGATTATTTTAACTAGAGAATTCGCAGATGGAAATTAATCCGTTTCGTCAAGTCTGGACCTCATTTTTTGTTTTTCAAACAAATTTAGGCCCAGAATTAAATTTTCATCATCTCCACACCCGAGCTTTATTTGCTAATATAAATTTACATGCAATCACCATTTTTTGCAGCATAACTCAACTATCAAATAAATGCACACATATACGTGATACACAAAAAGGCGATAGCTCAGCTGTGCTCCAAAATATAAGGACAAATAACCCCCTCTGCACGTGCATATCGCTGAATTCTCGCCGTTTGGTGATAAAAATATTGTTTCAGCCGTGAAAAAACCTTGAAATTATTCTGCTTGTCAAGGAAATTCTCTTATCCCCGTTAAAAAAGAATTTGAATATTCCAATTAATAATAATAATAATAATCATCGTTTGTTTCACATTATCAACACAAACATTACCTTGAATGTCTGGACACACTGTAAGAGAAACAAATCATCGTTATTATTATCAATAACCCCACAAAGTCTTTCCAACGAGTCCCGGCACTTTTTATCCTCAATAAAATAATGTCCCCCATTGTCTGGGCCATTGACAATAACAGCCCTCCGCCTTCGTGATAACTCATCATTACCGAAGACCCATCCAACATTGGTATAGACACCAGAATTGGCAGTCTGTGTCACGTCATTAGCGAGCACACCGGTATTTATCTCAGTATCAAACAACAACTGAAACAATAACGCAACAGCTAGACCAACCAATCGTCTCGAATACTCCATATTTACTGTTGCACGGATCTTAGATGTATTCTAACGTGTCCCACATCACAATTTGACGAGATTGTTTGTGCTTGAATGTGAATTATATATATTTTTTTATTATTTATGATGTCACGATTTATACGAACTTTGCGCGTAAATGAGACGGACTAGAGGATGTCTGAGTTAGGGGTGGGGGGGGGCTCCGTTCTTACTTCCACGACTGTACATATCAAACAAAGAGGATAGACTAAAGTAGAGGCTCGGATCCGGGAGTTTGGCTGACCCCAGCGTGAGGCTAGTACGACCCCATGGCAGAGAGGGCACCGCAGTCGATTTCGGTGTCTGGCCGAGTTCGCCAGTTCGGTAACTCGGCAGTAGCAGTCCCGCTGTCACAGGGATAGTTTCGGAGGGGAATTTATGCCCTCCTTGTCCTCAACATGTTCTTAATGTTTATCAGGTGATTCATTTGCTGGCTAATTAATATTAAGGAATGAATTAAATTCCCCATCAATTAACCCTCTTTCATCCCTTAATCTCTGCAACAAAAAAATAAAAACTGCCATGAAAATTATGGGCCAGTAAGAAAAATAATTGTTTCGCGGCGCGCAGTAACTTTTCACCATTCGCCTGCGAATTAAAAATTCACCTCTCCCCTCCTGAGATTAAGCGATGAAAAAAAGGCTATTCGACTGAGAATTAAATTCACCATCAATTAACTATGAGAGATAGAGCCTTAAAACCTATTCCATTCGATTCCTGAGGAAATTTGGGTTCCGTATAGG